TCATTCCTCACATTCCCTTTTCTCTCTTTTGTTTTGTGGCCCACTGCTCTCTTCTCCTTTCTGAACTCTTAGTGTCTTTGGCACTCTCTTGATATGAGTCACTGCCATTGTGATGCCCTCTCTTTTTCCCTTCAGTCCCTCTTTACTCAGTTTGTCTTTTATTATTTCCACATGGACACCTGGCTCCCTGGATCATTCTGTAGATTCTCTCTGACACCAGATTTTTCTCCTGTAGGTCATTCCACTACTTTACTCTGAGTCACTTTCTTCTGAATCTGGCAGATTTCTCTGTGACACCTTTCTCCTTCCTGCTGGCATTCCCTTCTTGATTCCAGTGATTCTCCAGTGTCCCTAAACAAATCTTAGTCTGTGTCCTGGTTCTCTGTCTGAGGTGCCTCACTTTTCTTTCTGCTTTCTTCGTTATAGCTTCTCTTTTCCTCTTCTCATTGCACTTTCTGCCTAATTTCTCAGTATGTGCGCTTTTATTTTCCTCTTTTTCTGTTGCTCTAATTTTACATCTCTCTTTGGTTACATTTCTTCCCCATGAACCTTCTTCTCTGTTGCTCACTTTTCCTCCTTCCTTGTGCACACAGTTGCTCTTGCACATGCCTCACCCCCAGCCCCTACCTCCTGTGGATCTTCTTTATTCTAGACTGTCCTTGTGCCACCTCTTCCCCATCCATGATCCACTACCCTTTCTGTGTCTTTCTGAACCTTTTTCTGTGGTAGCTTATGCTCTTTTTCCACATTCCAGTATTTAATGGACTCTCAGAATTTCTGTCACTTTGTTTTCCTCTGTGAAACATCTCTTTAATTTACTTATCTATGTTAAAGAGAAAGGAGAGAGAGAGAATATGAACTAAGTAAAGACACAGAACCAAAGAAACTAAAACAGAAAACTGTGTAGAGTCTGGGAAGGGAGGGTCCCTGGAGGAGAGAGAGAGTCTCAGGGACTGAGAGGAAAAAATACCATCTTAGAGAAAGGAATCTGAGAAAGAACACAGAAGAGAATGCAGCAAAATGAAACTGCAGACAGAAAGGGAGCCAGAGACATGGCGGGAGAAGAGGCAGAAAGATGAGACAGGGCCAAAGAGAATCAACCCCAGAGAGCTAGTGTCAGGGAGCAGAGCAGGGACCATGGGACAGTAGGCTGCAGGTAAAAATCCAAACTTGGTGGTGCTGAGGAGGCAGATGGGAGGTATATCTGAGCCACAGATGCAAGAAGGAGCCTGAGAGCACAGGTTCATTTGGAAATCAGTGCATTTGAAAACAGTGAGATAGAATTCTTAGGAATCAGTAATGTTGAACTAATACAAGATTAATCTCTGCTTTGAGTCTTTTTTTTTATTTTAGAATGTATTTTTTAAAATTTATTTTATTGTTGAGAGTACTATGGATGTCCCTTTCTGGGTTTCCAAGTAATTTAGAGCAATTTTCTGTTAGAAAATATAATTTTAAAATACTGCCCTTAGATACATTTTTTTTTGATAAATTTTATTTTAGGAATTGTAATTGCTACTCTCAGAGGATATGGATGATTCTGTTTTTCTGCTACGTTTACCCTCTATGCCCTCAGAGAAATGATGGGAACATTGTAAGGATGATGTTGCTAAGAAACGGTGGTTTCCAGGGAAAAATAGAAAACCTGGCCCTGAAGTTGATTGGCTCACCTGAGTATAGCCCATGGCATGTTATAGCACAGAGATGAAAAATATCTGAGTGAAGAAAACCGTCTCGTTTCTGGCAGTGGAGTTTTTTTGCCAACGTGTGACATTGACATTTGTGTGGCTGTTATCCTGGGAAGTTGTGGGTTTTTTTTAATATGTTTTTATTGATTTCAGAGAGGAAGGGAGAGAGAGAAATAGAAACATCAATAATGAGAGAGAGTTATTGATCAACTGCCTCCTGCACGCCCCCTACTGGGGATGGAGCCCACAACTCAGGCATGTGCCCTGACTGGGAATCGAACAGACATCTGGTTCATGGATCAATGCTCAACCACTAAGCCACACCGGTCAGGCCTGAGCAGTTTAAATTGAAGTTGAGGTCAAGACAAACACATTAGTTATCTTTTTTAAAACTGGGTTAGTTAACACCAGAATTGAAGATGTTATAAATGGGTATAGTTTTAAAAATACATGCCACAACCAGGTGATGAATGCTTGAGGGAGTCAAGCAGAGGGAAAAATGAAAGTAGGGAAATAATAAAACATAAGTTATGATTAGCAAACACAAAATTGGACCCCTCAGTCTTTGTATAGTTGGTAGAAATAGGCTACAAATTTTGGTTCTACATTTCCTAATGATATAAGCAGAGGGAAGTAAAGTTAGTTCTTTGATTCAGATTCATAAGATTAAAACCTCGTTATTCAGTAGAAGCACTAATACTGATTGATACCCGAGACATGTCTCTATTTTTTAACTTTTACATGAATACAAAAAAAATTTTGCCTGATAGAAAAATTTGGTGATGGTGTTTTATAACCCACAGGTCAAATTATACTAATCACTAAAAGGAATATGTAAAACTTGTTGGGATTTAATTAATTAAGTAGGCTTTTTAAAAAAATTATGTTTTTATTGATGTCAGAGAGAGGAAGAGAGGGAGAGAGAGAGAGAACCATCAATGATGAGAGAGAGTCATTGATCAGCTGCCTCCTGCACACCCCCTGCTGGGGATCCAGCCCGCAACCTGGGCATGTGCCCTCACCGGGAATTGAACCAAGATCTCCAACTGCTGAGCCACACCATACTGGGCGGCATTTTCTTAAAATTTTTATTTTATTAAATTTATTGCCATGACATTGGTTAATAAGATCATATAGGTTTCAAGTGTACACTTCTGTGGTACATGATCTGTATCTTGCATTGTGTGCCCAACACTCAAAGTCAAATCATTTTCTGTCACCATACATTTGGCCCCCTTCACCTTTTACTACCGCCCACCCCCTTCCCTCTGGTAACCACCATACTGTTGCATTTATTTTAAATAGGAGAAATTCAAAGCTGTTGTCTCTCGTACGTTGGAGCGGAGTAACCGTATTGAACAACGTCAAAAACGATGGTCATGGGAAGGCTCTACAACAGTGAACTCTGAAAGTAAAATGGGTAATTAATACAACAATTAACCTTTGGGTTCATTCATGCTGATACTGAAATATTGGCTATTAGTATAAGGTTGCATTGCAGCAAGGTTTTGAGTTTTGTATCTTAAATGAAAATGCTGCCATGTACTCTTTGGCATGCACAGTATTTCACTCGTGTCATGTGATTGCAAAAGAAACAGGTGAAAATTCTATAACTTTATTTTTCATACAGTATATCTAAAATCTTACCAGTTAAACTTGTAATTAGTATAAAATGATTAATAATAAATAAGCTTGACACACCTTTTCCAGTGCATAGTTTTAAAATAAATTAATCCGGCCTCTTTACTATTGATGTACTGTAAATTTTCCTATATAGGAACATAATTCTACACAATTTCATAAAACATAAGTTAAATTTACGAAGTTTTTAAGGAACGACTGACAGTGAACATTGTGTATCTAATTAATACACTGGCGCCATAGAACTACATCATGAACTCATTTTGTTTCAGCTAATGATGCTATCTTAAAATATGAGTACAGTAAAAAATCTATCTTTTCTCAGTCAAGAAACGGTCTATATCTACTGAAAAACTTGAACAGGAGACTTCTGGGTCACACAAACAAATGACTGTGTCATCTTCTGGTTCTCAGAATTCTATTTCCAAGAGTAAGTAATTATTTCATGTATTCCACTGAATTTCAAGTAAATGAAGTCAATTATTTATATGTATTTTTATAGTACTGCTTCTTTAGATTGTACCACATTTGATTTATTACAAAGAGCACCACATTGTTTTACAGTAGAGAGGGTCATTACTATTTTGTATTTTCATCAATATACCAATATAAATATCAATGTATATATATATGTATAAAATCAGTATATCAATATAAATATCAGTGTTAAATCCTCTTTTTGTCATTTGTGTATTAATCACATCAGAAGGGTTTGTTAGGCTCAGCCCAAAGTGAAACATTTTGTTTTTGTTTGTTTTCCTTTTTATTACTTAAAAATACATATTTTTAAAATTTATATTCTTTACTGTTGACATTATTACAGATGTCCCCCTTTTGCCCCCCTCCTCCCAGCTCCCACTCACCCCCAGGCCTTCATCACACTATTGTCTGTCAATGGGCTATGCATATAAGTATATAAATATTTTGGTTTATCTCTTCCCATCACCACTCCCCACCACACACACACACTGAGATGTGTCAGTCTGTTCCATACCTCCAGACCAGTTTTGTTGGTCAGTTTATTTTGTTCATTAGATTCTACAAATAAGTGAGATCCTATGATACTTGTCCTTCTCTGACTAGCTTATTTCACTTAGCATAATACTTTCCAGTTCCATCCATACAGTCCCAAAGGGTACGAGATTCTTCTTCTTTACAGCTGTAAATGTACCACAGCTTTTTTATCCACTCATATCTACTGATGGGCACTTGGGCTGTTTCCAGATCTTAGCTATTGTAAATAATGATGCTATGAACATAGAGGTGCATATATTCTTTCTGATTAGTGTTTCGGGATTCTTAGGATATATTCCTAGAAGTGGGATCACTGGGTCAAAGGCAGTTCCAGTTTTAATTTTTTGAGGAACCTCCATACTGTTTTCCACAGTGGCTGCACCAGTCTGCATTCCCACCAGCAGTGTACTAAGGTTCCCTTTTCTCCACATCTTTGCCAGCACTTGTTTGTTGATTTGTTGATGGCAGCCATTCTGGCAGGTGTGAGGTGGTACCTCATTGTGGTTTTAATTTGCATTTCTCTGATGATTAGTGACATTGAGAAAGTGAAACATTTTGACCACAAGTTGTTGCTATTAAGTGGCACAATAATTTATTTTAAAATTAATTCACATTCTTCCTAACCTATAAATGAAGTCATTTTTTCCTAAGGACTAGTTAAACTAGTCATTCAATTTTCATTAAGTTTCATGAATATTACCTCATTTTAAGGAAAATAATGCCATATATATAGCATTGGACAGATTGGTCTGCTTTATTGGTCTATGAATATATTTGTTATTCACAACAACCTTGTAAAGTTGATAGATGAGTATAATTACCTTCCTGGTTTTATATTTGAGACCCCAATGAATTTACTACGAATTCTTCAAATACCTTTTGCTCCTGGTATTTGCCCTTTTAATTAGTATTCCTTATTTCAAAAATTGTTATGAGTGTGTGTGGCCATTTCTGGCTTGTTACACATGGTGCTACTCACTAATAATTGAAATGGATTAGGCAAGCTTACCTATCAATAAAAGGAATTATTCTTTATGGAAATAAAAATAGAAGTGATCTTGGTAGGAAACATTGGTAAACATTCCACAGCATTCCCTCAAACGTAGCCATTAACCAGAAGAAATACCTCTTTTATGCCTTGTGAATTGAGAAAAAGGTGTAATAATTTGAATTAAAAGTGTTTTTTGTATTATTAGGTGCCTTGACAGTTTTTGGAACAATGCTGATTGCTATAAAATTCTAGTACAGCAAAAGATTCTGGATCTAAGTTAAAGTATAATTAGTTGTAGCAGTGGTTAACTTAGTAAGATTTCCATTTTGTCTAAATATTATAGTTTTAATATGTTGAAAATGATTTTTGTTTTGTTCGTACTTACACTATGTTATTTGTACCTTTAGGACTCATACAGTTTCCAACAATTACTTGTGAGGTCTTTTGTTTGTCAGTTTGTGTGCATCAAGTTTTCTCTTCTATTGGTCTAACAAAAGTTGATCCATCCTGGACGTTTTGGCTCAGTGGATAGAGCATCGACCGAAGGGTCTTAGGCTTGATTCCCGGGCAAGGGCATGCACCTCGGTTGCAGGTTTGATCCCCGGCCCTGGTCGGAGCATGTATGGGGGGCAACCAATCAATGTGTCTTTTACACATTGATGTTTCTCTCTCTCACTCTCTTCCCCTCCTCCCTCACTTCCATTCTCTCTAAAAAAAATATCCTCAGGTGAGGATTTTTTTAAAAAAGTTGATATACTTATCACCCTCAATATGCTTTCCCAAAGCAGTTTTATGTATATATAGTCCAGGTCCATTCATAAATTAATGTGGGAAGATTTCCTGTAGCATCTTGCTTGTCATATAATAAAATTTATTTTTCACAAACTCAGTCCTTTCGAAAAATTCTGTAACATTCATTGCAATGTCATGTTTATATATTTCTTATATATTAAATACTTCTATTTTAATGTATCTTGTTTCACAAGCATTGACTATGTTTTACCATCTAGTTGCTTTGAGGAATTAGCAAAGATTTCCTACAGAGACATTTATTACATTTTTAGTATCCTGACGAAACACTAATATGTTTTCATTAATATGTCTACTTGCCATATTAATGAGACATGTAAAGAGAAGGAACAGGTGATGACTTTGACGTTAATAATTAGTTAAATTGCACGAAGGAGCCAATTCCAAGTAAATTTTTAAATGATTTTTTACTGGTTTTTCATATAAGAAGGTATGTGTGGAAGATACTTTGTGAAATAACTTGCTTAAAGGTACAGTATATTGCACATCCTGAAATGATGAATGTAATTAATGATTCTAAGGAAAATAAAATCAATGTTGGCAGTGGCAGTGGCTTAACATTTACAAAACCCTTTCAAATTTAAATGAAACCTCTTCACCCTGAAGAGGTGAACATTTCAAACTCAAATACTTCAAATACCTTTGAAGTTCATAATCTAACCTGTAATATTTTAAATATCCCTGTTTCATTTATTTTTTAATATGTTTTTATTGATTTCAGAAAGAGGAAAGGAGAGGGAGAGAGAGATAGAAACATCAATGATGAGAGTCTTTGATCGGCTGCCTTCTATCGGCCCCAGACTGGGGATCACGCCCACAACCCGGGCATGTGCCCTGACCGGGAATCGAACCTCAATCTCCTGGATCCTAGGTTGATGCCCAACTGCTGAACCCTGCCCCGCCAGGCAGTATGTTTATCTTTGAATAAAAGATATAGCAAACTGCATTAACCTACAGAAGCTGAACAAGTAGAAGGAAAATCGGGTGGTTAGTTATTTCTCAGTACCAATCTTAAATAGTGGTTTAAAAGAGATATATGTATGTCAACATTCAGTTGCTTGAAAAGTCGATCCTAAAAGTGGAAGCAAAAAACAAAACCATATCCCTTTAGCTAAAAAATGTACTTTGATACCATGCTTATTTGGCTGAAGACAGAAGAGCCTATCTTTAAATGAAATACAAAATTCTGCCATCATCTGAGCAAGGGGTCTTGAATGCAGCTGACAAATTAGATGACAGATGTTGAAAGAGATAATTTTGTACTAGAGGACTTGATTCCTTTCAAACATTTCATCAATTTGCGTTTAGAAGTTCTGAATTACCAGCCATATTTTGAACTTCAGTGCTTTGCTCTGTTACCCCACATCCATCCTTTGTGCATGTTTTCCCCACTGATTATTGCACGCAAAATACCACAGTGATTACTGAAGTATTTATTTAAAATAGTTTCTTTCTCACACCTTTCCCCCTAACTTTTCCCTCTCAAACATGATAGTTGCTTTTTTGTTTCATACTGAATTGTTCACTTACTGAAGACTCTTCACTTCATTGATTCAGGTCATATCACATTGTCACAGGGATCTTTATAACAATAAAAATTTATTGGAGTAAGGTATTTACAAGATTCATCTTTAGCAAAAGAAATCTGTCAGTCCCTTGGAGCTTTTGGCAATGGACTTGACCAGCATGACTGTTAGCAAAGTTGTTTTCTCCATGTGTGAGTTTCTCCATAGAGACTCCATATCCGTTGGGTATGGTTCTGTTAAATATCTTACCTAGGTTCTTTCACTGGCGTTGTGGTATGCTGGGGCATTTGCCCCTTTATTCAGGTCCTCTCTTCCCTAACTGTCAGGCGGCAGTATTCACTATCATGTATGTGTTCTCGTTGCCCCTACTTTTTGGCTGGGAAAGTTGTTTGCAGCAGTTCATGATGTTCTTTTTTGCTTGGCATTTATTTGTGAGGCCTCAAATTGAATCCTTTCTGTTTGTTCTCATCATTTAGTTCAGCAGCTGTACACCGATCTTTGGGAGAATGATTTAATCATGCGCCTGATCGCTCCAACCAAAGCATCAATAGCCAGGAGCAAAAGTACTGCTTCATTATCAATCCCTGGAAAAGATACTCCAGGTAACAGGCATAGGGTAGAAAGCCAGAAAGTGCTGGTATTTGCATTTAAGGAGTAGGTTGTATCACTTAATTTGTTAAAATAGGGCATGAAAATAATTTGAATCCATAGTTTCCAAATGAGTGATTTTATCCAACAGTTTATGTTACATATTTAATGTCTTCTAGCATTTAGTAGTTATCTGAGTAACAGGTAATTTATAGGATGAAATAGGTAATTTTGGTGGTGGTTGTTAAATTACAGAGCTCTATGGTTTTCCTGACTTGTGCTTAAGTGTGTCACAATGCTGTCGAAAGTACTGGATTTTAAAAGCATAGAAAAACTTAATATCAAGGGAGGAAATTCCTACTCTACCCTCCTTTTTTCCCCAAAATATGGAAGAATAATATTGAACTGCTCTTTAGCTTTTAATTAAAGACATAGAGATTGTTGGTAAAATAAGTCTTTAGGGTTATGTGGATTTTCTCATGTATAGGCCACATAAAGTATTAGGCCTGCCTGTGGGTAGTTAGCCGTCTTCTGTAATGGAGAGCTCTAACACATTGTTCCCATCATTTGTTTTCCCCTTTTTCTCCATTTTTGATTTTCCAGAATATATCCCACCCCTTTGTGGGGTTTTTTCAGTCAATCTTCATTTGATTCATAAAGCAAATCAAAATGCTCTCACTTTTTGGTAGTTCGTCTTTACTTCTTTTGATTTGAATTCCTGACTTTGTTTATGTCTAGTTACATGTATGTCAGATTATTTTCTGCCAGTGTCCCTCCAATCTATTGTAAGATATTTCTAATTACTTTCATTTTAGTTTAATATATTACTCCCCTCAAAAAATTCAACATTTTGTCTTAAATTTCTGTAGCTAATAGAAATTACATTATTATACTTACTATATCTTTTGTAACACAAACTGTCGGTGTTAAATAATATGACTCTTTAGGCACATATGGATATGTAAATAGGATGCTTTCTCCACCAGCCCTGGCCAGGTGGCTCTGTTGGTTGGAGTGTCATCCAGTACACCAAAAGGTGGCGGGTTTGATTCCTGATTAGAGCACATATCCAGGTTGTGGGTTCAATCCCTGGTCAGGGCACATGCAGGAGGTAACCAATCAATGTTTCTCTCCCACATCAATGTCTCTCTCTCTTTTTCTCTTTCTTTCTTTCTCTCTCCCAAAATCAATTTAAAAAATTTTAAAATGCTTCCTCCAGCAAAAGTGAGACTGCAAAATAACATTTAATTTAGTCAGTGTTATTCATTAGTAGTCAATCTTTGGTAATTTGTTCCATTTTTATTATTTGATAAGATTCTATAAAAATTTCCACCCATATTTAAAGATAATGTTACAAATTTACCATGTCTTAAGAAAGCTGCCATCAAAATAACTTCTAAAAAATGTTTACTTCATATTTTTCTTTGTGTTTATGTTTTTTTTCACAAAATGGGATTATAACCTTTTTTTTTTTTTAATAGAGGAAGGGAAGTAGAGGAGAGAGAAATATTGATGTGAGATGGAAACATCGATAAGTTGCCTCCCATATACACACACAACTTGGCCATGCACCCCTACCAGGAATCAAACCCATGGCCCTTCGATGCATAGCAGGACCCTCCAACCAACTAACCACACTGGCCAGGGCATAACCTGCTTTTGTTTAAACTCAATATATATTATTTTTATGTCCCCAAATTGCATATTGTTACTGTTAATGACTGTCTTAGTGTAGAGTCCAAATTTTCTGTTGGATATTTGGATTATATTTTCAATAGTTTCAGTATTATAAGCAATGCTATCATAAATAACCTTGTAAATACATTTTCATTTATTTATCTGATTTTTTCCTAAGGCTAAACCTAGAAGTGAAATTGCTGGAACAAAGAGTAGGTACTTTTTAAAAATCACTTTTGATGCATTATTGCCAAAATGGCCCTCATGGAGCATATGCAAATCCTCACCCCCACCACCAGTTTATGAAGTTGCTTGGTTCCCAAAATTGGTACCAAGTATTATCTATTTGCCCATTTATTAGGCAAAAAATATTTAGATTGTTAAAACTGGAAGAGACCTTGAAGATCTGGCCCATTCTGATTCATGTCTTAAATACAATTTTTAAAAATTTTCCTTGGCTGGTGTGGTTCAGTGGTTAGAGCGTCGGCCATCCCGCAGAAGGGTGGAAGGTTAGATTCCCGGTTAAGGGCACAGTTAAGGGCACATACCTGGGTTGCGGCCCCGCCCCTGGTCCAGGCTTCTGCAGGAGGCAACCATTCGATGTGTGTCTCTCACAGTGATGTTTTTCTCTCTCCCTTTCCCCATCCCTCCCTCCCTTCCACTCTCTCTGAAAAGTAATAGAAAAAATATCCTCTGGTAAGGATTAACAAAAAAAATAAAAATAAATAAATAAATAAATAAAAATTAAGTTTATTGTGGTGACATTGGTTAATAAGTTTAAAGTATACAATTCTATAATACATAATCTGTACATAGCATTGTGTGCTCACCTCCCAAAGTTTAGTCTCCTCCTGTCACCATATAGTTGACCCCCTTTACCCTCATCGACCTCTTCCTACCCCTCTTCCCCTATGGTCACCACCATACTGTTGTCTGTGTCAATGAGTCTTTTTGTTTGCTTGTCTGTTCATTTGTTGCTTTCTGTTTTATATCCCACATATGAGTGAAATCATATAATTTTTGTCCTTTTCCGCCTGACTTATTTCACTTAGCATGATACTCTCAAGATCCATCCATGTTGTTGCAAATGTACAGTTTGTAGTATGGGAGAGAAAATGCTCTTTTTTACATTCTGTCTAAAAAAATTATGTATAGAGTGTTTGACATAATCGCCTGTAACAGTAAGTTCTCTGGCCCTGGTGAAGTTGTTTAGATTATTTTTTAAAAGTGTTGAAGATCTTGTAATTTTCTATGACAATTATTCTGAACAATAATGTGATTAAAATAGAAATGACAATTGCAAACCTCCACTTTGTTGGGAGCAGCATCTTGTCTTCATCTGCAGTGGGTTATTGCTTTCACAGTGATTCTGTTGGTGGTGGTGCTTATGAGATATACCAGTTTTGCCATGCATCTGTCCTGTGTCTGTCATCCCACTAAACACTTCCGTTGTGTGTAATCTTTGTCATTTCCTAGTAAACACAGTCTATCTCTCTCTCTCTCTTCTCTTTTCCTGTTCTTATACTGTTTCAGGGTGCATTTCTGTTTTGTCAGATTTCTAACTGGAATTTCATTCTCTCCTCCTTCAGCCATAGGCATCCGCAACCCTGTAATGCGGTATGCAAACATGCCCTTGCTTAGCCGGAGCAGTGATGAATTGAAGAATCCATTAGCACTCTGCAAGTCAGCAGTTGCAGTGCCTCCCCAGGAGAAAGGAGAAACACCCCTCAAGGTGAGCCTGGAACCACCTCCTGAGGGGAGCGTGGAAGCAGCTCCTGAAGCAAGTGTGGAAGTGGTCCCTGAGGTGAATGTGGAAACACCATTCAAGGTGAGCGTGGAAACAGCCCCCAAGGGGAGTGTGGAAACATTCCCTGAAATTACTGTGGAATCGCTCCCCGAGAGCTTGGAAACATCACCTGAGGGGAGCGAGGACGTGTCCCTCGTGAGTGTGGATCCATCCCCTGAGGTGAGCATGGACTCGTCCTCTGAGGTGAGTTTGGACTCATCCCCAGAGGGGAGCATGGAAACGTCATCCGAGGCACGCATGGAAGTGTTCCACAAGGCGAACATGGACGTGATTCCTGAGGAAAGCTTGGAAACAGTCCTTGAGGAGAGCATGGAAGTGCCCCTCGAGGCGAGTGTGGAAGCCTCCCCCGAGTCCAAGTCATGCCCTGAGGTTAACGTGGAAACATCTTCTGAGGAGAAAGTGACAGATACTCCACAGGTTTGTCAAGTACCTCTTACTGACTGACTAATCTTCCATTAAAATATGTTTATTTAATTGTATAGATGATGTGATAGGTTTCCCAATAAAAACTATACCATTCAGCAATAAAATTAATAAAACAGGATAATTCACTTTGGTGATTTAAAATTCTGATATTCATTATATCAGTTTTCCCTAAAGGTGAAATACTAATTTTTAGGAGGGACAAGATGTAGGAGTTTATATGAACTTTGCTTCTAAACTCTGAAGAAAAATTTTTGAGAAATATTGTAAACCCTTAATTAAGATTTAGAAATACAATTTGAAGTGACATGTTTCTTTTAAATTAATTATTTCTCTGGCCTGCTTGAGTTGTGTAATTTGAATTATGATTCTGCACAAATGTATCTCTGTAGCTAATTTTCATGCATTTTTAAGGAAAATTAGGAGTTTAAGGAGCTATAATTGTATATTATTCAGAATATTTTTCTCTTAAAAAGATAAGCCAGTTGCACAAAGTTATTGCTAGTAATTTCTTATCCGATTCTATTGATCTGTTCAGAAATCAAACCCTGTAAACAAGCACACATCGACACATATGCCATTGTCTAGATGGCCATCTTCAAGTGGACTGTGTTCACCCTCTCCCTTCAGTGCTAAGTAAGTAGCTATTTGCAACTCTTCTGATGTGTGTTTTACCAGGATAAATTTTACATCAGTGTTTTCATAGTTAAAATAATGTAAGTATACGTGCTAATGTAAATATTTAAAAAAACAAAAACCTTTAATAGACAAAGGCAAGCCCTAGTATAAAATACCATGATCTCATCCTGGCCCATGTGGCTCAATGGGTAAAACATTGGCCTGTGCACCAAAGGGTCTCCGGTTTGATTCCTGGTAAAGGGCATGTACCTAGGTTGCAGGTTTGCTCTGGTTCCCTGGTCGGTCAGGAAATGTGCAAGAGGCAACCAGTCAATGTGTCTCTCTTAACATCGATGTCTGTCTGTCTGTCTGTCTCTCTCTCTCCCTCTCTCTGTCTGTCTGTCTCTCTCTCTCCCTCCCTCCCCCCTTCCTTCCACTCTCTGAAAAACAATGGAAAAAGTATCCTCTGGTGAGGATTAACAACAAAAAAATACCATGGTCTCATAATATATTTTGTGAAATAGTACACTAAGAATTAATTGGCACATGTTCATTACAAAACCATATCAGACTTCCCCTATTAACTATTACTTTTTCTCACTAGGCAAATCCAAAAGAATCGCCTGCCATCAATTTCACCGGTCATGTCAAAACAATCAGCACAATCTTCTCTTTGCTGTAAAATGATTCCTGTTCAGCATACCTTATGTGCACAAAATGTATTAGGTACTATCATAAGGAAAAAAGAAGCAACTTCTAAAACCACTGAAAGCTTTGAGGCTGTGAACCAAAAGCATATGACCTATGAAGGTAAGTTCCTTCACTGAGTTTATATTTTGACAACATAGAAAATGTTAAGGTATGGGAATGGTCAACTTTATTTTCCAATTCAGAGAACTTTAGGGAGCGAGCTTTCTTTTAAATAAAGAGAATTTAACCGATCACTGGCACACTGCTTACTTTTCCTTATGAGAGCTTTTTTACCCTTACCCCCTTATTGTTTTGGAAAATCCATTTTTGGAACTGATTTTAAAAGTACTTATTGGATGAGCACATTGATCTAGGTGATCCCTGCAGTCCCTTCCAGTTCTGATAGTGGATGGTTCTATGAATGGCTGAATAAGTTTCCATTAAGAGTTATAGGTCAGTTGCCATACATAGGCCGTAACATGTATCTGGGAAGTATGTAGGTTCCTGAAAGTACCATATTGGTATTTTGCCTGTCATGTGTGTGTTTTTTGTGCATGTGTTGTTGTTTTTAAATCCTCACCCATGGATATTTTTCCATTGAATTTTAGAGAGAATGGAAGGGAGAGAGGAAGGGTGAGAGGGAAAGAGAAACATAGATGCGAGAGAGACACGTGGATTGGTTGCTCCCAAACGTGCCTCAGCCAGGGCCCGGGATTGAACCTGCAAGCCAGGTATGTGCCCTTGACTGGAATTGAACCTGCAACCCTTCAGTGCACAGGCCAATGCTCTAAACACTAAGCACACCAGCCAGGACATTACATGTGTTCTTAATATTCAAGGAAATTGCTTGCTTTTAAACATACTGGCAAATTTTACTTTATGAAGGAATTCCACAGTAAATTCTTTGTAACAGAAACAATCTTTTTATTATAAATTATTCATTATAGATGTCTTACGACCCTCATTTTCATATGTGGTTTATTTAAAATAAAGAAATTAGCCCCAGCTGGTGTGACTTGGTGGTTGTGCTTTGCCCTATGCATGAGGAGGTCATGATTCAGTTCCTGGTCAGGGCACATTCCCATGTTTCAGGCTTGATCCCCAGCAGGGGGCATGTGGGAGGCAGCCAATAGATGTTGATGCATTGATGTTTCTATCTCTCCCTTTTCTTCCTCTCTCTCTAAAATCAGTAAAAACATTTAAATAAAAGAAAGAAATTAGTCACATGGACTAAAATATTATATGCCTTCATGTGGTCACCTTATGTTACTGATGGTCTTGGTTTCTTTGGTTATCTACAGTTAGCCAGTTTATGATTAACCAAATATTGTAATATGCTATTATCAACGATTAGCTAAATAGTAATTTGGTAAAAATGATGAACAAATTTTAAAATATATGCTGAATCTATTTTTGTTTACTCAAGTATTTAAGATTTGTATACTTCATTTAGATCAAATATAAGCTTGTTTTCCTCTATATTCAGCATACATCTTTTTCCCTATAGGGTCAATTTAGCAAGTTATCTCAAAACAGCTAAACCAAAGTAGGAGTGAGGAGTACGTTATTTTATTTTGGAGCAAGCAGTTGTTAAAAAGAAACAGAATGGTACTTCTGTTTTTGAGAAGGGAATTGGGATTTTGAACAAAATGTGTTATATAGTTACTTATAGATTGCTATTTATAAATTTTAGACCATATACATATTGCTTGTTTTTTATGTTGTTGGTTGTCTTGCACCTCTTTATTGAACAGAGAGGCAGCAAGTTCCCTAAACTAACTGTTTCACATGTTAATTTAAACTAGTGTCTGGTAACAAAAGCACACAAGGGATTTTGAATGCTGAGGAGGCAACAAAAATTTTGGCAGCAAAACGACGCCTTGCTCGTGAGCACAGAGAAAAAGAAGAAAAACTACAAAAAGAAATGGAACAAAGGTCGGTACAATATCATCCTTTCTATGCTATAAATCTTGGCTGGGCTAAAGTTTGAAAGTCAAAACTTAACATCAAGTTAGATGTATTATAAATTCTCGAAGAGTGATTGACTTTTTCTTCAGCATTAATCAGAAATGACTGTTGGAAGTATGTCCAGCAGAGAGACGACACTGGTGTGTAGATGAATGGTATAGGCCTCTTTCACTTTCATGCATCATGTACCCTGATGTGCCATAGAGATGCATAAAGAGACCAAAACTCACGTCAGGGTCCCATATCTCAGCAATGGAACCTGAGTAATCACACAAGACTGTTTCCATTGGCACTCACTGGTGTCAAAGGTCTTTTGTAACTTTAGAATTTATAAACCTGGAAAGTATACTTTCTTGTGTTTTACTAAGGGTGCTTTCCAGTGACCTTTGGGACACCTGAACTTCATTAGTCATTGGTAGAAGGATTTCCTGTGGGCAGCAGATCTCATGTACAGTTGTGTATATTCTAACTTGATCGAAAGGGTTTCCTGATCTTCTATCTTGAGGCCCATTCAAGTTGGGGCCTTGGAATGTAAACCTCTGTTCACTGCTTGACTTTGTTTTTAAGTATTTTGTTTTTGTTTGTTTGTTTTAGTTTGTTTTGTTTTGTTTTTGTTTTGTTAATCTTCACCCTGAGAATATTTTTTTCATTGATTTTTAGAGAGAGTGGAGGGGAGGGAGTGGGGG